CGAATTTCTCCATCAACTCAAAGTAGGTCAGGAAACCTGCGGTATTCCTGACAATGAATTATTTCAAGTTTTGCCCACGATTTTAAAAGGAGTCGCGTATAACTGGTGGGAAGTTCGTCGCGATAAATTTCACACTTTTCAAGAATTAAGTCAGGCTCTTACAAACCGGTTCTCGAGCCCCATCGATACGCGTTGTAGAGCAGTAGTGGACATCGTGAGCAGGACACAAGGCCCACTCGAACGTGGTGCCGATTATTTAGATGCCATTCGTCTGATGTGACAATTATCTAACAACGACAATTTCACGGAGGCCGCAAGACTTGATCGACCGCGTACAATCATCTCAGACCCGAGTATCATCCGATGATACATCGCAATGATTTCACGACTTTTGATGAATTGGAAGCACTGGTCTTGGACTTCGACTGGAGACACAGTCGGGTCCCATTGAAGCCTCCACCAGAGCCAACCGAGACTATTTACCCTCACTGCGCTTACGTGCCGGCACGCTATGCGAAGAAGGGGGCGAAGACGGTCGTGGAGGAAATTAATGAAATAGACGGGAACACGTCGGGGGGCGCGAAGACAGCCGAGCCAAAACCTAAGTCTCGACGACCTCCCAAACAGCCTCCGAAGGCCGCCGCTCAGGCTTCCGCGATTCAGCCGTCAACTCATGCGGCGAAATCTTATTCGGGAGCCGCGAAAACGGTCAAACCTAAAGTCGCCTTTCCAGCTGGCGATCTTAAGACCCCAGCTGCTAGTTCCCCGTCGGAAATTAAGGCAGCACCTTCGGCATCGGTAAAGCCGGAGGAATTATGTTTCAATTGTTTGAAGCCTGGTCACAGGCATGTAACATGCAAAGTGCCACAGACAGAAGTTTTCTGTTACGTATGTGGTACGAGGGGAGTTAAATTTCCCGAGTGCAAAAATCACACACGAAAGGCAGGGGCTAAGGGAAACGCAAAGGGAGTGCAGCAATAAAGGGTCCCGCGCTGTCTCCCAAGGTTTCAAGGACCCAACCTACTCCTAAACCGCGCGTTTCAGACCGTCAATCCCCTAAACCGACTTTGGCTATGTCCCAGGATAAGATTTCTGAGAACGAGACGGATTTTTCGACTATCACGGTTCATAATAAACGTGGAGCGCGGCTTTCTTCCAACATTAGGAATCGAGGGGCGCGTTTCAACTATTCAAGCCGGGACATCACGCAGTCTGACGTGATCCCCAACAACTCTAAGTCATTGTCTAAGAGTAAAAATCCAAGTTCGAGCCGTAAATTGAACCACGGCACTGCCGTAACACTCGATAATGAGGAAACTGAATTTCCACCTACGTACGAGCGGTTGTATCGCGGNGAAACTGAATCTCCACCTACGTACGAGCGGTTGTATCGCGGAAAATCCGAACGGCTGATCACCGATTCGGAGGTGAATCCCACGGTTGAGCGCGAGTCGAAGGAAAGTGGGGTTGCTAGTGCACACGCAACGTCGCGAGGGGAGGAAAGTTTCGCAGCGTTGTCGAGTCTTACCGCGGTAAAACCGCTGAGGGCGCGGGTATTCTTGCCGCTGTCTATCGGTTCTAGCGAGTTGTACGCTCTGATGGATCCCGGAGCTACAAAATCTTGCATTAGGAATATTCCCGAAGAATGGAGGAAGACGCTTAGGTTCAAAATAAAACCACCCGCATCGCCGATGGTAGCGATGGCTAATGGTCATGCCGAAGCGGTCGCGGGTGATGTGCAAATTCCAATAAAAATTAAAGGGATAACTCGCGTGATCGAATTCCAAATTACTCCGGGATTAAGTCGTCACGTGTTATTAGGAATGGACTTTGTCCGAATTTTCGGGTTTGGCTTCGACGGTAAAGCAAATGAGTGGTGGATTGACGGTGACGACCATCAATACCCCATCGAAACTCGCGACTTTACCGAAGCCAATGAAATTTGTGGTTTGGTACAGACGAATGATACGGAACGCGTAATAATTGACGAACTCGTGTATCGCTTAGTGCCTCCACCGCGTGAACAAATTAAATTCACGAATTTGACATCGCATAAAATCATAGAGCCACGGGATCATACACCATTTAAGTTGAAGGGTTATCCGATGTCACCAATTATACAACAGGAATTAGTCCGACAGGTAAAAGCACTCGTGGAAGCCGGGGTTATTCGCCCGTCAGAAAGTGCCTGGAACAATCCTGTTGTAATGGTAAAAAAGGCCCGTGGTAAATGGCGATTGTGTCTGGATTTTAGATGGTTAAATAAATTGACCAAGAAGGACGCGTACCCAATCCCGAATTTGGTAGGGATTTTAGATAAACTACGTTCTGCGCGGTATATTACCACTTTAGATTTGAAGCAGGCGTAGCATCAGGTGCCTTTAGACCCGGAAGTCCGCAAATTAACCGCGTTTTCGGTGCCAGGCCTGGGTACATTTGAATTCGTGGGAATACCATTCGGCTTAACCAATGCGCCCGCGACATTTCAGCATCTCGCAGACAGGATCATCGGTCCGGAACTCGAACCTTTCGCGTTCGCGTACTTAGATGACATCATCGTGGTCACTCAGACATTTGACGATCACATCAAATACCTCGAGCTAGTGCTTACGAGACTGCGCGATGCAAGCCCGAGATCAATTTGGAAAAGAGCGTGTTTTGTAGCAATCGCGTTCAATGTCTTGGTTTTATCGTGGATGAAACTGGTCTTCATATCGATCCTTCAAAGGCCGAACCAGTCTTAAACTATCCGGAACCACGTACCATACGTCAAATTCGACGTTTCCTCGGTATGTCATCATGGTATCGGCGTTTTATTCCCGACTTTGCCGCGATGGCCGAGCCTATTACGCGCCTCTTGCGCAAAAATACTAAGTGGAATTGGGGGGATGAACAATCGACGGCATTCACGCGTATTAAAGCCGCTCTGTCGACTGCACCAGTATTATCCTGCCCTGATTTTTCAGTATCATTCAAGATTCAAACCGATGCGAGTGCTTACGGTCTTGGAGCCGTCCTCACATAAACAATTGATGGAGTCGAATATGTGATCGCGTTCGCCAGTAGAACATTAACTAAGACTGAGCGAAATTATTCAGTTACACAAAAAGAATGTCTCGCGGTCGTGTGGGCTATTGATCATTTTAGACGGTACATCGAAAGTTATCACTTCACGATTATTACCGATCATAGCTCATTACAGTGGCTCCATAATTTGAAAGACCCGGCCGGCCGTTTAGGAAGGTGGGCACTAGCGTTACAAGAGTACGATTATAATTTAGTTCATCGACCTGGCAAGCTCCATGACGTTCCAGACGCATTATCGCGAATGTACGAAAACGAGTGTACCGAGGCCGATGAAAATGAGGTTAACGCTGTTGAAAACCCCGACTTGTCGACGGAAATTGGAAGTGAGAGTGCGGCAGAGGTGGAAGATGAGTGGTATTCACGCAGAAAGGCGTCTGTAATCCGAAAACCAGCTAAGTTCAAGGGGTGGAAGGTGGAGAACGATCAACTGTTTCGATACCGACCAAACCCCCTGGTTTCGACGGTTGCGGAGGACCTCGATGCGTGGAAGCTCGTTCCCCCAAGGTCGTCACGAATAGATATTATTTCTGAATCTCATGACCTACCGCGTTCAGGTCATTTGGGGATTGAAAAGACGCAAGCTCGAGTAGCCCTCGCATATTATTGGCCAGGAATGTCGGTNACTAAGTTCAAGGGGTGGAAGGTGGAGAACGATCAAGTGTTTCGATACCGACCAAACCCCCTGGTTTCGACGGTTGCGGAGGACCTCGATGCGTGGAAGCTCGTTCCCCCAACGTCGTCATGAATAGATATTATTTCTGAATCTCATGACCTACCGCGTTCAGGTCATTTGGAAATTGAAAAGACGCAAGCTCGAGTAGCCCTCGCGTATTATTGGCCAGGAATGTCGGAAGACGTAGCCAAATACGTCACATCATGTGAAGTTTGTCAGACGTGTAAAGTCTCACAGTTACAACCTGCGGGGTTGATGGGACAACGCGTTTTTCATGAGCCGTGGACAGTGGTTGCCGCGGATATCATGGGCCTTTTCCCTCCGAGCAAGTCAGGTTATTGTTACCTCTTAGTTTTTCAAGATCTGTTCACTAAGTGGGTGGAGGTGGCCCCATTGAAAAAGGCAGATGGTAAATCTATCATCGCCGAATTTGAAAGTCTGATAATATTTCGCTGGGGAACACCTAGAGTGATCCTTACAGATAATGGTACGGAATTCAAAAATAAATTAATGCAGGAGATGGCGAGATCTTTTGATATCCGTCATACAACCACTCCGCCGTACCACGCGCAAGCCAACCCAGTGGAACGCGTAAACCGCGTCCTCAAGACGATGATTATCTGTTTCATTGAACAGGACCATCGAGAATGGGATTCACACTTGCACGAATTTCGGTCAGCATATAATACCGCGCTCCATGTCTCGCCCGCATTCTTGAATTTCGGTCGTCAGCCCCGCGATAGTTTATTTTTGCGGAAAATGAACGCACTCGACGAAGAAATAGCGGTACCGAACACGGCCAGATGGACAAAACGTATGGAATGCATGACGGAAATTTATGATTTAATTACCGACAACCTAGATAAATCTTTCGAGCAACAAGCCCGTTATTATAATCGTCATCACCGAGATATTAAATTCTCTGAAGGTGATTTGGTTAGGTGCAAAATTCGCGTGCTATCGTCCGGCCCGAGAGGCTTCACGGCAAAATTAGCGCGTAAATGGAGCACAAAAATTTACAGAATAAAGGATATTAACTCAGACTTCGTGTATGAGTTATTAGATGATGAGGGCAAAATCGCGGGTAGACACCATGTAAAAGATTTAAAACTTGTGGTAGCCGCGGACGACGGACGACTCGTGCGCGACTCGGACGACGAGTGAGGCACGAGATTAGGAAACCCGTAGTGTCCATCATCTCATCTCATTTGTGTCATGGTTCATTATTCCCTTCCTACAGAATGGAGCAGGTGAAAGTGAAGCGGGCCTTGGCCGGTCTGAAATCGGCCACCGAGGGTTTGGCCATCTTGGAGGAAATGGTGGAAGGGCCATGCCTGCGGGAGGAGCACCCCGTGTTCAACTCGGTGGTGCCTATTGTGGCCAAGCTCCAGTTGCTCATGGAGAAAATGACGGCGGAGCTGAAGGGCGTGGTGGGGAGCAACCCTCCACGCTTACAAGCATGCTCGACTCAGGCGCGCTACAGACCCCTGCCGTATGTCAGGGCAAAGGAGAGTGATCGTCGGGCTCAGGACCTCGCAAACCTGATCAAGCGAAGTCCTCACGTGTGGATGGAATGGGGTGCCCGTTCGGATTGCGGCAATTGCAGTGACCCCTCCCATCGGGCTTCGGACTGCCCGTATTTCCGGGAAACATTTTGCGGGAGATGCGGGGAGGAGGGAATGAATGTCACCAACTGCCCTTACTGCAACCCCGGGCGTTACGGCATCGAGAGGCCACTAGGAACGAGGCTGGTTCGCCAGAAGATCCGCGCATAAGCACAAAGAAACCTTACAAACCGCGACTGCTCAAAAAAGGGGCGGCGGCCTGTACCAAATACCCTATGTACTCTGTAAAAATAAAGTTATTAAACCCATGGGATGATGGCCTCAAATTTATTTTGGTGGGGGAATAATAGATGAACACCGCGAGGGGTCGACATTTCAGGTCCTGACGGTGCATCCTCGTAGTATTATTTTTGTTTGTAATTTATTCCGATCCCCATCAAACCAAACCTTCTGTACCAGGGTGTTGGGCTATTATTGTTTATTTTGTTTTTTTTTGGCCTTATTTTTTTTGGTGTGCTCTTGACTGCTGGGTCCCGCTCCTCGCGGGCCTTGGTGAAATTTGAATTGTCGAAGGTGTCATTGCACGTCACATTACACTCACAAGCGCTCGCCCCGGTAGTTCAGTCTGGGGGGGGCAGTTGTAACATGATAAAAATCATGTACTGTTCCTCGCCTGAACTGACCGCGGATCATGGGGGGAAAATTAGTCGTTTACCCCAGCGAGTCGGATCACCCAGAGCCACAACTGTCACTTTATTTTTATTTTTATTATCTGACTATTTTCCTTCTTTCCATTCCCTCGAACTCTGTCGATCGCGCTCACCGTGGATTACGTGAGCTTCGAGACGAGGGGAGTGGAGCGGAGCCTCGGGGAGAGCTACAAGACGGCGCGATATCTGAGGAGCAGCACACCGACGAGCACGCACACACCGAATCTGGGAGACTCACACCACGGAGGACGCGAAAGACGATCGTCGCACGCCAGCAGGCATCTCAGGCCTCTACGTGCGAACCCCCACCACCTCACCGATGGATCGGCGGCACAAGGCCGTCCAGTAAAAAACCGATGTTACAGCATTGAGGGAGCATCGGATTATGTTGGCTTCTGCGCCGC